GCCTCCTATTCTCGTCTATGGTGCCGCTCCGCAAACGTCCGGCCGGCGTTTGCGGTTGCGGTTGCGGGGCGTTTGCGGAGCGGTAACACCACTCAAACTGCATTATAGGCGTTTGTGGGGCGTTATTAACGCTCGGCAAACGCCTAGCAACCGCCGATAAACCGCGCATGCGGCGTTTGCCGAGCGTTTGCCGAGCGTTAATAACGCTCTGCAAACGCCGGACCAACGCTTGCCAAAAGCTATAGGGGCGTTTGGCAAGCGTTGGCAAAACAGCCTAGTGTGAACGAGCCCTAAAAATGGGGTCCCTCCAGCTAAAGGTAGTACAATTCTGCTATATATTATATGTGTATCAAAAATTTTCCTATTCTTTAAAAAGGTAAATCTGTGTAAGAATTAAGAAGATTTTATTGGTATATACATTTAATATTTTTTTCTGTTGGTATAGTATATAAATGGAATGCTATTTGAATATATAATATATTGAATATATATATATCTTACAAAAGATGTGTGCTTGCTGTGAGCAAAGGAATTTATTGAGAAAAATTTTATTAAAACTCGAGCAGCTGTGCATGGCAAACATTCAGCTTATATCTTTCATTTTCAAAGCCTAACAAGCTGAAGATAGAAGCTGATTGGTTGCCATGCACAGTTGCTTCAGATTCTGTCTTCATCAGTTTTAATAACATCCCCCTCCCCCACACCATATATATTTTGACAGTAAGCATACACCAGTATTCTCATAATAATGGTAGTTATATGTTTTAAACATAAAATACTCTGTTGTCTCTTGCAAATGTGTTCAATTTTGCCATAAGGAGTCTAGTACCCACCAACAGATGGATAAAGTGGTTGCTTATTCCATTGATTGATCATAAAATGTCAAACTCATGGCTATTCAGTATTTTAGGAAATTTTTTTGCATTTGTCTGTGAGTTTTGTATTGCATTTCTCATGATAAATATATAAATTCATAAAAGAAAAAATAGGCTTTAAAAAAACACCTTGCTTGATCCAAACCTAGGGAATATGGCCTTTGCCCATTGCTTTTTCACTGTAAGAACTAAGGGATGCTGTGGAATGACAAGAAATACTGCAGGTAACTTTCATCTTGCTGCAATGGAACCAAAGCAAACACTTTTCTCAAATGTACTGAGCCATTCAGCTTGTAGCATTCTTTCAGCCTGGTGTCTGGGAAGCAGTTGGGGGTATAAAGATCACAAAGTGAGCACCCGCTATGGAAACCTGTTAGGGACATTATGGCTGATGGCATTGTTAAACATTTTTATTATAACCTAGTTTTAGAAAAATAATATGTTTCTTACAAGCTTCTTTTAAATACTTTAGTAACAAAACACTATTAATAGAATATGTACTTGAATCCCAGCAAAAAATGTGATCTGCCTTTAGAACAGAAGAGGTGGTATCATCCATAATTCACAATGTCTTTACAGAAAGTTATAGGCTGCAATAATTTAGTTCATTTATATTCCCAGCACATATAACAATCTAAATGCATTAAGGGGTCAGTTATGCTTTAGTAAGTCAAAGCAAAGAACGGCTAATTGTTCTGGAACTATAATTCCCAGCTTTGGCCCACAACTAAGTTATGAAGAAAAGAAAATGAATGGAGCTGACTTTTCAAAGGGTCTTTCCATTGTAATGCAATTCTACTGCTGATGACATTTAAGCCACTGCTAATGAACCAGACACACTAGACAGCACTGGGGATATTTTTAACTCTCCGGACAGTTCACTTGCAATATGCAGAAGTTAGAAGCCATGATAATTAATTCAAATCCATTTCTATGTTAATGACTTGTGAAACAAAAAGTGGACCTAAAGCAATATTCTGAGAACTGTACAGAAGGGTAACAAACATGATAAATCTTATCCACATAAAGCAAAGCTGGAATAGCAATGTTCCAGGAAACAAGCTTGGTAGAATGGGATGACTACTTTTTGCAACCTGGCAAAAATGAATGGATCTAATAGGTGGTAAAACTCACATTTCTTGTAAAAAATTATGCAAATGTGCAATAAACAGACTATGAAAAGAGAACGGTTCATCTGGTTTCCTTAAAACACTCATTTATTTTGTACATCTACATAGAAAGCTTTGAAAAAAGGAAAATACGCAAAACATATACGTTAATATATAAACTTCACTGCAAATGAGTAACTAGGTAAAAACTTTAGATTTGGATGGGTATACACATTTCCTTATTACAAAAGCAAATTACATTTCTAAAGAAAACATTTCTATGTATACTATATTACTTTGTGCAGCAAATATTTTCCTTATGTTTAGATTTAGGTTCTTTTTAAGTTCTTTCTTGCATAACTCCTTTGTGGGTTTTCACAATGAAAAGAAAAATGAAAAAAGCTCCCATAGCTTTGGTATTCATTTATAAACCAATACATTCGATATTCAGCAAACATTCACTGCAGATGTTTTTTTTCCTGCTGCATGTGTTTTAACCACTTACCTGCAGGGCACTTCTACCCCCTTCCTGCCCAGGCCAACTTTCAGCTTTCAGAGCTGTCGCACTTTGAATATCAATTGCGAGGTCATGCAACACTGTACCATATGAAATTTTTGCCAAGTGGTTAATTCACCACCAGTGAATGTTTTATGAAATTCACACTTTGCTTTATAAATATGCCTCTTGGAGTTCTGGTGGCTGTTTCTGGCTGTTCACAGTGTGGATTGTATGATTTGTGAGGATTTATGATTTATGTAATAAAAGTAAGTAGGTATCGTTGTATCTTGTGTATACAAATATTAGCAAAATACTGTATGTCTATTAATAAATAGCCAGAAGGAGGGAAAGTAAGGGGATAGTCTAATTAAAGGAAGAAATGTAAATAAGCAGACAACTGGATGACAGCTAGATACAGTAGGAGATGACAAAACAAAAGTAAACAGACCTAGGACGGACACATGGACCCACGAAATGAGAATGGCATAGGCTAAAGGATGAAAACGAGGGATCAAGAGTTAACCTAACCAAGAAAGAGAAGAAAGGCTAGAAAGAAGAATTGGCAAATAAAAAAGCTTTAACCTATATTTCACAATAATACCCCTCCTAAACCTCTTATTGGCAATTTCTGAATATAACAAATAAAGCATGTAAAAAACAATTCTGTATATTACAGAAAAGCAGCTTCAGCACTGCAGATGTGGTAAAACTTCACATCCCATCATGCCTCTGCATTCTGGACTCATACCTGTCAGAGTCTTGCAGTCCCGCCTTGCAATATCTCATGAGATTTGTAGTTTCACCACAGCTGAGGTTGCTGAGGTTGCCTACCCCTGCTGCAAGTCGTATACTGCTCTCAATTTTTTATTTCTAAATTCATAACAAGTACAAAGAAATACAGAACCCCTACTATCCTCTGGAACTCCCCACCCCAGTCTGTCCAACTTGCTCCTACTTTGTACAGCAGTCCTTGAAAACTCATCCTGCTTCCTCCTAAAAACTGTATTATTTTCTCCATCACCACATCCATCTCTCACAGTCAAGGCCTTTTTTATCACTTGGCCCTCTGATTGATTGTAATCTTTCATGAGCAGGGCCTTGCTAACACATATACTGTAGATTGTCAGGCTGTCTAAAGTTTCTTTCATTCGTATCAAGATGTATCTCCAACATGTATGAAGAAAAGCTGCCAAGTCCTTTATGTAAAATTGAAGCTACAAGACAAACAATTAAAGTATTACTCCTATATGTTCAAGGAGGTCAATAATAAGTTATTGTTTTACAATATAAAGTCATCTAATATGTGGAGTCAGTATAAATTGTATATGAACTACAGTGGCACAAAATGAAAATATATGGTACAGATTGTCTCTGATCCAATTCAAATGATCTTATTGTAAATGTAGGAATAAAGTATTGAAAAAAAGGCTGCAGGATTTGGTTTGACATGCCTATCTTCTTTATATATTCCTTATTTATAATTTGTGAATATCACACACTTTTATTGTACCAGTAGCAATCCTTGCTTTACTAGATTGTAAGCTCCGAGGAGCAGGGCCCTCCTATCCCTCTTGTATTGAACTGTACTGTTGCTGTATTGTCTCCCATTATATTGTAAAGCGCTGAGCAAACTGTTGGCGCTATCTAAATCCTGTATAATAATAATAATAATACATTAGGAAGATTATTTAATAAAACTAAATTAATACAACACCCTTTTTTTAATGTCCCTCTGTTAACACTGTTCCTGTGGTGTCCAGCACAATTAGGATAATCATATATATTTTTTCATATTGTAAATACCTTAAAATCATATTTAAAGACTACACTTCCGGTTCCGTCCGCCAAGACGATGACGTATGAAGGCGATTCGCAAAGTCTCCTGGGATGTTGGGTCCTCTATCCTAGGAGTCCTTTGGGTTCCTAGCTTCTGACTATCGCGTTACTTCAAAACCGGAAATGCCGCGAATGGGAGGAGTTTGGCGCCATTTTACCGAAGTCCTATGTGTGGGGAGGAAGTGTAACAGCTGTCCTGTGGACTGTGCTCGGCTATGTAAGCTGTACATGCAGATTGTGTGTATTGCGCATTCTGTGAATGTAATTTTGGCACTTTGGTGTCATTACTGCGCAGGAGCGAGATCAAGTGATGCATTCTGGGATAGCCAGCAGCACCAACTCCAGGAAATAAAGACTTGCAGGCTTCAGATAGCCACATTCATCATGGCGCCTGCCTGCTTCTGAGATCAAGGTAAACCTTTACTTATTTAAAACTAATTAGAAGACTATAACAAATAACTTTATCCATTTGTTACTGTTAAAGAGTAATTGATACTGGGTCAGCTTTTATAAAAAAATTGTTATGGGGACTGCAGAGGAAATACATTGTACTCATGTAAAATTACCTAGCCATTGAACTAACATTTATAATTCATGGTCAGTGGTCATAGAATTCAATAACAAAAATTAATCATTTATTCCAAATTATCAATACAGGAAAACTTAACTTACTGGTTTACTGTGATCCATTTCCACTAAGAAATTTTCAGGATTAGTATTTATAGTTTGTAGCTCAAAGGTTTCTTGCGTAGGATTATGCAATGGAATAATAAAACGAGTCCACCTATAACATTTTCAGAAATCAAAGAAGACTTACATGTAGCCATTACAAATTTCTTCCAGTTTCTTAACTGCTTAATGGAATTCGAAGAACATGTAAAAATGATTTTCAGAGTTTAGATTAATGTAACATGCAATCTTTTACCATACAATCCTACAGGACTTTTTTTCTCCCCAGTACACCAAATATCACAAACATATGACAAGGTTTGTTACTTTGAATCACTGTGCTTTCTCGTGGAGATTAAAATACATTCCGTCATATTAGAGGCAACAGTGACATTTTAAGTGGTCAATTCAGGTTTTAAAGAAAAAACACACACAGCATCTTTGTTTCCTTTCCTCTATGGTCAGAGTTTTAACATTCTCATGTTTCAGACAAGCAGCTGTCAAAGATGCCCAAGGTTAGGTAAATAAGAAAAGCACATGCAGAGGGCAGAGAAAAAGCCTGGCTGTAGTTTACATCTTGTCAAAGAGAAACAGCTATTAATGTCATTTTGTTTTAAATATACTGAAGTTTATTGGTAAGAGGAAGATATGGTCTTAGGGTAAAAAAATCAACAAATCGCTAACGAGAAGGCAGAAATTTACCACCTACAACTATGCAAATTAATAAATGTTTATTTGAAAGAATGTCAAATTTAACTAACAGCATTCAAGTGAAAATACAAAAACAATACTAACTTTCCAAGTTCACATGCCACTTCAGGAACTTTAATTGGTGCTGGCTTTTCAGATGACATTTGTAATTCATACCAAAATTCTCCAAATATGTCACACTGGAAAATCACACTAGAGAAAAAAAATCATAGATAAAAAATTAGGATGTGTTTTTTCAATACCATTGCTCTGAAAGCATCAGGGGGCTGCTTCCTGTCAGCTGCACATGCATGTTCAACAACTTCAGGGTTAAAAGAGGCAGAAGAGCATGGAAGATTCCAAAATGAATCGATAGAAACTTCAGCACATGATTTAGCACATACAAGTGATTAATACCATCCCATGGATCCCAAAATGTTTTCCTTTACCAGGAAGTTTAGAAAAGGAACCCCTCTAGCAGACAGGGCGGATCATAGTGCTCGGTACCTAGCCACTGTGAGCAATGACCAATCATAGCGACCACATGATTACATGTAAGCAAAACTATCATGAATGGCTTCCATTCATGACAGATTACTTATGTGATGCTGTGATTGCCCCACAGCTATAACATTCTACCTGGCACTCTGTACCATGTGTTTAGCTGTAGCTATTCAAAGCATCACAACAGTATGCAAACTGTCATGAATGAAAACCATTTATGACAGTTAAAACTATTGCTTAGAACAGTGATCATCACTGTTATAAGCAGTAACAGTGCAAAAAAAAAAAATCTGATTCCCCCCCCCCAGAGAGTACTACATGTGATGAAAAAGTAAAAAAAAAAAATGTTTTGTCTTTGTTTACATACTGTGATCATACTGTGATCATACTGTGATCACTGCCATACCAGTAATATGACGATGCTGTAATGCACTGGTGACAGTATGTAAAAAAAGTTTTATTTAATTCCTTAATTTTAATTTAACAGTAAATTACAACTTAAAAAAACTCGCCATGCCTCTTACTAAATACCTTGGACTGTTTACTTTCCAAAAAGGGGGTAATTTGGTCTTTTGTACTGTCCTGGCATTTTAGGGCCTCAAGAAATGAGATCGGCCATCAGTACATCAGGATTAAACAATTTCCAAATACATATACACCATAGTTTGTAGACTGTATAACTTTCACACAAACTGAACAATATACACTGACTTGGCTTATTTTTACCAAAGAAATGTACAAGACTACATTTTGACCTACATTTAGACTCCATTCACATTTGCACGACTCCAAAGTCACACAATTTCCAGTGTGACTTTAATGCAACTTTGAGTGAGACTTTATTCTGACTTTACATGCTCTGAATCAAAGTCACATCAAAAGTTGCAGCAAAGTAGTGCACGCACCGTTTCAAAGTTGCTGCAACTTTATGTTGCACCATTTTGAACGTGTGCCATTGAAAAGATGGGCTGCAATTGATGTCCAAAGTCGCCTGACAATTGGCACATGTGTGAATGAAGCCTAATGAAGGAAGATTTTTTTTTTGCAAAATTTTATAACAGAAACTAAGATTTATTTTTTTAATTTTTGGTATTTTTTTCATTTATATAGCAAAAATTAAGAAAAAAAGTGGTGATTAAATAACACCAGAAGAAAGATTTTATTTGTGTGACATATATAAATTTCATGTGGGAACAGTGTCGCATGACCAAGCAATTGCCAGTTAAAGTAGCGCAGTGCTGAATGTCAAAAAATGCTCTGGTCATGAAGGAGGTAAAACCTTCCTGTGGTCAAGTGGTTAAGAAACATGTATTCAATACAAAAGCACTAAAATCTATTTATTTAAATTGTGTATATACTAACATTACATTTTTATTTTATTTTTTGAACATGCACACATATTTTCATTTCCTCCACAAGGTAGGTTTTTTTCAGCATGCCTAACCTGTTACCTCTTCTATTCTATTCTAATTGTGGCACACCTGATAAAGAAGTACAGTGTTACTTGTCTTATGGAACATTTTACTTCATGTTATCATTAAAGAAGCCGCATTGTTGCTGACTTTTCCTGATTGAACAATGTCACTGTACCTGGGCCTGACTCAGGTAAAGTGAGAAAAAGTAAACAGCCTAATGTTTAAACAACAAAGCTTTTTCACATACTGGTTCATTTCCCTGTACGTCATGCATGAATAAATAAGTCCTAGGATAAGTTCACTTCACCTCAAATTACACATTAGTAAATCAGGTCTTACATATGCAGCCATGATGGAGATGATAACGTTAAAAAAAGTTCTGCTACATGCTGAATTATACTTTTTTTCCTTTTGCTTGTTCTTTGTATATGAAATTTTCAGCAGAACTGAACGGTGATTTGATATTTCCATTGTGGATTTCATATCTATTTTATAATCTTCATAAGAATGATATTAGTTCAATTTGTGCTGTATTACTTACCTTGCATTGGAAATCCCTGTTCTGGTTGGGGAAAATTTGGCAACATAAGGAAATGTTTCTTTGGGTTGTAGAGTAAATTTGTCATCACCAGTAACTCCACCACCAGCCACCAGAACATGAAAATGTAGAACATCCATTGTTGGATTTGTAATGGGAATGTTTATTCCAACTGTTTTCTGTAAAAAAAAAAAAAAGCTTCAAAAATTTTGACTGCAAATAGTGTGACAAATTAGTTCAGTAACGGGTTGTACTCGACCCCCTGGATGAGTCAGAACACAGTGAAAAAGGCACAGCACAACAGCAGGATCTTGGTGAAACAAATGGTGCTTTATTTACAAGGTCTGTGATCACAACGTGCAGATATCCAAAACAGCAAAAGTAAAACAAAAACAGAAAATAAAGAAATAAAACCTTGTCAAGTTGGGCGTCTAACTGCAAACACAGGATCCTAACTACTCATCTGAATACAGCCTACCACAGCTCAGACACATGGCATTCAAACAAAGTATCTCAAAGTCCATAGTCACGCAGACTTAATCTCACAAGAGCATTACATAGTTACATAGTTAGTCTGGTTGAAAAAAGACAAAAGTCCATCCAGTTCAACCATTAAAGAAAAAAAAAAAAACATTATAATCCTATACCCAGAGTTGATCCAGAGGAAGGCAAAAAAAAAAACAGCAAAGCATGATTCAATTTGCTCCTACAGGGGAAAAAATTCCTTCCTGATCCCCCGAGAGGCAATCGGATATTCCCTAGATAAACTTTACCTATAAATGTTAGTATCCAGTTGTATTCTGTGTATCGAAGAAGGAATCCAGACCTTTTTTTAAAGCAATCCACTGAACTGGCCAGAAACCAACTCTTTAGGGAGTCTATTCCACATTTTCACAGCTCTCAATGTGAAGACTTTCTTTTCCTCCAGATAGTAAAGAGTGCCCCCTTGTCTTCTGTGATGAGCTCAAGGTGAATAGCTCTACACCAGGTTCACTATATGAACCACTGATGTATTTATACAATTTCCTCTTCTCAAGAGAGAATAAATTCAGTTCCTCTAATCTTTCCTCATAGCTGAGCTCCCCCATGCCTCTTATCAGTTTGGTTGCCCTTCTCTGTACTTTCTCCAGTTCCCCAATGTTCTTTTTGCGAATTGGTGCCCAAAACTGAACTGCATATTCCAGATGAGGTATTAATAATGATTTATACAGGGGTAAAATGATATCTATCTCTCTGGAGTCTATACCTCTTTTAATACAAGAGAGGATGTTGCTCGCTTTAGAAACCGCAGCTTGGCATCGCATGCCATTATTAAGCTAGTGATCTACCAGAACTCCCAGATCCTTCTCCACCATTGATCCCCAGTTGTCCCCCCCCCCCTAGTATGTATGGTGCATGCATATTCTTAGTCCCCAACTGCATAACCTTACATTTATCAATATTAAACCTCATTTGCTACATAGTTGCCCAATTAAACAGTGCATTGAGGTCAGCTTGTAAGTCGAAGACATCCTGTGAGGATGTGATTCCACTGCACAGCTTGGTGTCATCTGCAAAGACTGAAATGGGATTTTTAATCCCAGACCCTATATAGTTTAGAAATATATTAAAAAGCAAGGATCCTAACACTGAACCTTGGGGTACACCACTGACAATCATAGACCATTCAGAGTATGAATCATTAACCACTACTCTTTGAATTATGATCTTGTAGCCAGTTTTCTAATCATTTACATATCCATTTTTCCACGTCCGTAGACTTTACCTTACACATTAGCCGTGTGTGGGGAACTGTGTCAAACGCTATTGCAAAATCCAAGTATACCACGTCCACCACCACCCTGTCCAAGGTTTTGCTCACCTCCTTATAAAAAGAACTCAGATTTGTTTAACAACTTCTGTCTTTCATGAATCCATGCTGTCTGTTGATTAAAATATTTTTTTCCAGCAAGAACTCATCTATGTGGTCTTTTATTAAACTCTCCAGTATCTTCCCAACTATAGAAGTTAAACTAACAGGTCTATAATTACTTGGTAAAGATTTCTGACCCCTTTTTAAATATTGACACCACATTGATCTTATGCCAATCCAGTGGTACTATGCCAGTCATTAAAGAGTCCTTAAAAATGACAAACAATGGCTTTGAAATGACAGAGCTCAATTCTGTTAGGCCACGTGGGTGTATGCCATCCAGTCCAGGTGCTTTATTCACCTTTATTCTGTCTAAATATTTTTGGATCATATCAATTGTGAGCCAATGTGGATCATCTTGAGCTGTGTCAATACCAGGCCCATTATAGACAAGAGCTCCCTCATGCTCCTTTGTATACACAGAGCTGAAGAAGGTATTTAATACATTTGCCTTCTCTTTGTCCCCAGTCACCCGCTCTACATTATTTTGTAAAGGGCCTTCATGCATTACTTGGTTGCTCCCCAGTCTGTCCTGCACAAAAATATGGTCCCAGGTTGGAACATTCTCCCTAAGCAACCTGGGAGTTTGATAGAGCCCAGAGCCCTTAACCTGCTACAGCTGAATTCATTACCCCCTCAGTGAGCCAAACAGGCTCACTACACAGCACAAAATGAAAACAGTCAGTGTACAGCATGAATCTGGGACAAATATATCTCCCATTCTGGAGACATCCCCTAGTTCTTCCTGGCTTCCTGTCACAATAGTTATTTTATTATCCATCTATATTTTTTCTCATTTAGTTTATTCACTATAGAAGTAATAGAGTGTTGCACCATGTTAGCCATCGATTATTGCAGAAAGTTTGGAGTTTATGTGATACTCTTAATGGCTAATTATTGAAGTTATTGAGGTTATTGAAGTGTGAGGAAAGTGGACCTTTCATTTCATGTTTACTTCCTTTTATTTCACTTCCTTTTATAGAGTGACCCTGTCCCTTTCTTCCAATTGTCCTACTGCATTGTCATTTGGGCTTCCTATGGAGGCAAATGGTCCTGTAATCACATTACATAGGCCTAATCCAGCCATTGCTGGGGTGCATACATGTAGACAGGAAGTGGCTGCAAAAGACACTACAGGAGTTCAGCAGCACTGATAAAAATGGATGAAAAAAGATGGATTTTTTTATTTCAACCACTTGAGCTGTGGGCCAATTCTGACATTCCTGCCCTATATTTAAAATCAGCATTTTTTTCTAGAAAATTACTTAAAACCCCCTAACAATATATATTTTTTAAGCTGAGAACTTAGAGAATAATGTGGGGGGGGTGGAGCAATTGCAATTTTTTTGTGTCACGTGGTATTTGCACAGTGATTTTTTAACCGCAAATTTTTTGGAAAAAAATACACTTTAATGAATTTTAGTGCACATAAACACAAGATAATACCCAATTATTTGGTAAAATATAGACAAAAATATGTTACACCATGTAAATAGATACCAAACATGTAATGCTTTAAAGCTGAGCATGCCCATAAAACAGCAACAAACTAGGGTACATTAAATTATCCATAGGCGACGCTTTAAAAGCCTTTACAAGTTACCACTTTAGATTTACACAGGAGGTCTGGTGCTAGAATTTTTGCTTTCACTCTGATGTTTACGGTGATACCTCACGTGTGGTGCAATTGCTGTTTACGTATGCACGTGGGACCGATGCATGCTTTCACCTTTGCACGCGAGTCACGTCCGGTCGCCGCACCGTCACAGCTGACCAGAAGTGACGGTGCGGTGACCGGAAGTGACACTGCACGGAACTGGAAGTGACACAACGGCATAAAAAAACAACAATCCGGAGGTGGTGAGAGAACCTACAGTCTATTGTCACTTCAGGCTTATAAATTTTTGTGATACTATGCTTTTTACAACTGTTTTGCTTGTGAGTAATGTCCATTTGAATAATTAAAGGATCTTGGTTTTATTACTACACCATTGGAGCACCTCTTTGTTTTTTGTTTTACATGATAATCATGAGAAAGAGGAATATCATGCTTATATGATATACAAGTATTGGTTATAGTCAGTTTATATTTTGGAGGATTATTCCTTGAAGCCTGTTTGCCAACCACGAAAGTGGGAGGCAACAACTTTTGGTGAGTGCACTTGAGTGGGGGATACTTTGAAGCACTTGGTTATCAGTAAACAGCACATGGTGGATTCCAAAGGAGGAGGATTAATTTCTGTGGACTTTGGATCATTATATATATTTTTGTATTCACATTAATTCACGGATGTCATTTTTTTATTTATTTACATTTTATTGTGTTGTACTCACTATTTCACTTTATCACTATTAACTTAGCGCCACTATAACACTATATATGTTGTTTTTTCACTCATTTATTACGGTTTATTTAACCACTAGCCTACAGGGCACTTATATACCCCCTTCCTGCCCAGGCCAATTTCCAGCTTTCAGCGCTGTCACACTTTGAATGACAATTGCGTGGTCATGCAACACTGTACCCATATGACATTTTTATCATTTTTTTGAGACAGATAGAGCTTTCTTTTGGTGGTATTTAATCACCTCTGGGTTTTTAGTTTTTCTTAAACAAACCAAAAACCACAGAAAATTTTGAAAAAAAAAAACGTTTTTTCTTAGTTTTTGTTAAACAATTTTGTAAATAAGTGATTTTTCTCCTTCACTGATGTGCGCTAATGAGGCTGCAGTGATGGGCACTGATAGGCTGCACTGATGGACACTGATAGGTGGCACTGATGGGCACTGATGAGGAGGCACTGGTAGGTTGCACTGATGGGCATTGACAGGCATCATTGATGGGCACTGAAAGGCAGCACTGATACATGACACTGATACATGACACTGATATATGGCACTGACAGGCGGCACTGATAGGCAGCACTGACTGGTACTGATAGGCGGCACTGACTGGCACTGATAGGCGGCACTGACTGGCACTGATAGGCGGCACTGACTGGCACTGATAGGCGGCACTGATTGGCACTGATGCGCACTGATAGGCGACACTGACTGGCACTGATAGGTGGCACTGATTGGCATTGATAGGTGGCACTGACTGGCACTGATGGGTGACATTGAAAAGCAACTTAGATGGGCACTGATATGTGGCATTGATGTGCACTGGTATGCACTGATATGTGGCATTGATGTGGCACTGATGGGCACTGGCACGTGGCACTAATGGGCACTGGCACGTGGCACTGATGAGCACTGACAGGTGGCAATTCTGGGGCCACACTGATCATGAGGGCACACTGATCATCACTGCCCTGATGATCAGTGTACATGTCACCTCCGTGGAAAGCCGATTACGGGCTCTCCTCTCCTCTCGAGCTGTCAGCATGACAGCTCGAAAGGAGAGAAATGCCAATAACCGGCATTTCCGTGTTTACATGTGATCAGCTGTGATTGGACACAGCTGATCACATGACCAAACTGACATCTCTGGCTCTTTCCGTGATCCGCTGTATCCAAGGGACTCCCTGAGCCGCGCATATGCAGTAAGAATGGTAGGACGTCATATGACGTCCTATCAGAACGAGAGAACCACCTTGTGCCCGTCATTGTACTATAGGGCGGGAGGAAGGTGGTTAAAGTCTCTTGATATATGAAGCCTGCTGCAAACATCCCTGGCCACAAAGCAACATTGTGAGACTGACAAGGCGATCATTCAAATAGGGGCAAAGTTACATATACCAGAAATGGAAGTGGAGAGAGCACTGTATTGCCTCACTTGGTAAAACAAGGGGTCAGTATGATCCGGTGAGTGTGGTGTATTATCCCCCTGATCTTTCTCTGTCTAGAAAAGTCCCATTTTGGAGTGGCACGTTACCAGCACCTTTATTGCACAAAAGTAAATGTGGATTGCAGTGAACACTGAGCACTTGCACAGTGTGGCATTTTGAAGATTTATGAACTATGAATTGATTTTTATTGATGGATGTTTTGTTTTTATGGACAACAATATTAGTATACAGTAAGCACTGGCACTCCCATACAATAAGTAGGTATATGGTTCATGAGTGAGTTTTGACAGGTACATGGAATTTTGGGACTTGTACAGCTAAGGAAACTACTGTGTACTTGTTCGTCCACAGGATGGTCAGTTAGTGATAATGTAAATGGACAGCAACATAGTTAAATTAGGCAGATTACGGCAAAATCTTAGTTTATGTGGAAAAAGGAATAACATACATTTTGCTGATTTAATAAGCCTGCTAGGCTCATAACATTATTGATTTTTAAAAGAAAGAAATAATTATTTTTCAAGGCAGAATAATAAACAATAGATTTTTATAGGTTGTTACGGGTTACATCATTCCTTATTTCGTTAAATTCTGTATTATTGGTAAATAAACCTGTGGTTATAGTTGTCACTTCGTCAAATAAAATCAATATGGATGTTCCCTGCAGTCTCTTTATATGCTTTTTTTATACTATAGACTGAATCAGAACACTATGATTTTAAGCAGTTAAAATGAAGCCACTAGCAACTGAAATTATTATTTAATGAAACAGAATCTATAAATCAAATGATTTCATTATTAAAAACAAAAAAAAGTTGTATACAGACAGGTCTCAAAGTCACAATAAGCTGTAATCATAAAAACATAACAACCTAACATTGTGCACTTTGTATGTCGGCAAGTGACAAATGCGTGTATATGAAAACTAGTCATGTACGCCAAACTGTAATGTTTGATGGATTTGTGTTGACTGTATCAGCAGTTAGCCTGTTAACTGTCAACTATGAAAAACCAGATCATTAGTTCTGGATTGGCATGCCAGCTTCATGCTTTTGCACTGACTCATTCGGGACTGGTTATAAAATGACAATCCTGTCACAGACTGTTCATGAATAAAAAGAAAACTCAAAGCAAGTGAGAGCCTCTGCATAGCTCAACATGATTTATAAATGCAGCAATCATCAGGATTCTGGAACCACTGGAGGCTAGGTATTGAGTTGCTGATTTACAATTGTTCATTCGTATTATTTGCTATCTTCACTACATTTAATTATTTTGTGAAACATGCATTCTTAGCTACACTCACTCAATGCATCTATGGACTAACAAAAATGGAAAAAGACATTTTTAAAAGTGCAGTAACGCATGGCAACCAATTAGAATATGTCTTTATCAGTAAACATGCAGTGCTATATAAAAACAACAGATTAGTGTGTACAAAATAAAATTAACATCAATAATAGTGAAAAAAACATCAATCAATGAAAGTCAAATATGTCCATGAAAGTGCCCATTCCTGAGACAGCAATCTTGCACTCTTGGTGAAAATAGTGTCCAAGTACAGAAGTGTCAATGATCCACATATGAACCACTTCAAATGAGAGACGTATCCATAAACCAAATTCACCTCTGCACACAAGAGGATCTTACCAGAAAGATGTGACCATCAAATTATAAATGGTCAGATGCGCATATAGGGTTAATGATCCCTGTCACTGATAAGACAGCCAGCAATCATATAAAAATACAGTCACACATTTCCCCCCCATTGATCATGTAAAGAGGTAGAGGGCTTGAACGGTGTAATATAGTTAAAAAACGTTTACTGTTATTTAAAAATAATGCGCACTCACATATATAAAAGCCAAGCATCGCTAGATAACGCTTGCATTTACACATACATAAAAAGCTAAATTGCATTTGCATGTAAATGTGTTGCCTAGTTACCAACCATATTGGGTTACAATATATTACGGTTGCCTTTGCTACCTGGTTTGATATAGCACTAGTACTGGGTACTATTACCTTCAGTGAGGTTTTCTGTGATATTATTTGTACACTCAACCTGGTGTGTTACAGGGGATGAGGGTTTTGGAAAAGGTTGAGCTAAAATACAGAGGGCTGATTTACTAAAGGCAAATAGGCTGTTCACATTGCAAACAAAATTTCCCTTAGCTTAGTGAACACGTTGAAAACACATTGCAAAGAATACCAAATCATGTGCAAGGAAAGTTCTAAAAAGCAATACTTTTGTTTGCACATGATTAGATGATGGAAGTCAGCAGAGCTGCACCTCATTCATTGAGCTAAGGGAAAATTCCTTAACAAAAAAAAATTCTATTGTTAAGTGAACAGTCTATTTCCCTTTAGTAAATCAACTCCACTGAGCTTCTTAGGTGAATTTTTATTTTAACTTTTATACAGAGGGTTTTAGTTTATTTTGGAGGGAAGGTGTACTTAGGGTGTCTAATTTATCACATTTAGTGTTCTTTGTATTTGTTTTCTTCCTTTTTTTGTGCATGATCTTTATTTGTGTACTTTGGCTTTAGTGATTTTTTTTCTTGCATTCTGTTATTTCTTTCTGTAAAAAAAGAGTATAAAATAATGAAGATAACAAGGGGTCATTATTTGGCACAAAAATAATTCAAAGTTAATTAAAAAATAGCTTCTGTAACCCCCAGAAGCCATTTAAAGCCCATTGCACCCACTGCATTTTCAATAAAATTTCAGGGTAATGAAAACCCTCAATTTTGTTCAGTGTTAGCTTTCAGCACTAATAGGAAAGATGTTGTACTACAGATACAAGCATTGAAACCATTTATTATTATTTATTATTATACAGGATTTATATAGCGCCAACAGTTTGCTCAGCGCTTTACAATATAACGAGAGACAATACAGCAACAATAAAGTTCAATACAAGAGGGATAGGAGGACCCTGCTCCTTGGAGCTTACAATCTAAGAGGGAGGGGCTAGAGGTAGGGGCTAGAGGTAGTAACTGTGGGGGATGGACTGGTTGGAAGAGTAAAAGATTCCATTATTAGCTGAGGGCAGGATAGGCTTCCCTGAAGAGATCGCCTAAAAGTGAGCAGAGTAGGCAATAGTCTGATAAATTGGGGTAGAGAGTTCCAGAGGATGTGGGAAGCTCTGGAGAAGTCCTGGAGATGAGCATGGGAGGAGGAGACAAGGGAGCTAGAGAGTAGGAGGTCTTGCGAGGAGCGGAAAGTCCTATTTGGCTGATATTTAGAGACAAGATTGGTGACGTAATTTGGGGCAGAGTTATAAATGGCTTTATACGTTATTGTTAATGTTTTAAATGTTATCTGTTGGGCAATGGGAAGCCAGTGGAGGGATTGGCAGAGACGGGTGGCAGATACAGAACAGTTAGTAAGGTGGATGAGTCTGGCAGCAGCATTCATGATAGACTGAAGAGGGGATAGCCTGCGATTAGGTAGGCCAATGAGGAGGGAGTTACAATAGTCAAAGCGAGATATAACAAGGGAGTGAATAAGTTGCTTAGTGGTTTCCGAGGTTAACAACGGGCATATCTTGGAGATGTTTCGGAGGTGAAGTCTACAAGGTTTGGACAGTGATTGGATTTGGGGCTGAAAGGACAGATGGGAGTCTAGGATTAAACCTAGTACCCTAGCATGAGGGGAGGGACTGATGATTGTGTTATTGATCTTGATGGAGAAGTCAGGGGAGGGGGCATGGGCTGGAGGGAATACTAAGAGCTCAGTTTTGGAAAGATTAAGTTTGGGGAAGTGGAGTGATATCCATGCTGATATGTCACTTAGTAGGTTAGTAATGCGAGAGGAAACTGAAGAGGTGAGGTGAGGGGTAGAAAGATAGATTTGTGTGTCATCAGCATAGAGTTGGTACTTAAAGCCATGGGAGTTTATAAGTGACCAAGGGAGGAGGTGTAGATGGAGAAGAGAAGAGGTCCAAGGACAGAACCTTGAGGGACCCCTACGGAAAGAGGGAGTGAAGAGGAGGAGGCAGCATTGAAGGAGCGATGCGATAGGTAGGAGGAGAACCAGGAGAGAGCAGAGTCTCTGAGGCCAAGAGAGTAGAGTTTTTTGAGGAGGAGGGGATGGTCAACCATGTCAAAAGCTGCAGAGCGGTCAAGAAGTAAGAGTACGGAGTAGTTGCCATTGGTTTTAGCTGTTAGTAGATCATTAGTGAGTTTTAGTAGGGCAGTTTCAGTGGAGTGAAATGAGCGAAAGCCAGACTGTAAAGGGTCAAGAAGGTTGTTGTCAGTGAGGTAGGAGCTCAGCCGATTGCAGACTAACCTTTCTAAGAGTTTAGAGGTAAATGGCAGCAGGGAGATGGGTCTTAAGTTGTCCAGGTCGGTGGGGTCCAGGGAGGGCTTTTTAAGTATGGGAGTGATGTGCGCATGCTTTAGAGGGGAGGGGAAGGCACCAGTAGAGAGGGAAAGATTGAAGATGTGAGTGACGGAGCATAGGATGGAAGAAGA